TAAGAATAATGCAGGCCCAAGATAAAAGGGTGGGAGTGACCTGCGCATACAAAACAGTGGGTACATTAAAAACTATTAGACAAGAAGAGCCAGCAAAACTTGGATATTAGCCAGTGAGAGCAAAGAAGAAATCAAATGATTTAAATGTGGTCAGCCTGTGGATCCAGGAATATGATGGCTCTATTAACATTAGAAGGGTAATTTGTTATGGTGGAAGGAAAAGTTAATTTCGTGTTGACATTTTACATTAAAGAGATATTTCTGGGCACCTAAATCAAGATGACCCACAGAGGACATAAGATGTACAGGGACCAAAGATGGCGAGAGCAGGCATTTCAGTGAGGTCCACCCACAGAGGCTGTCCCATGGACTGTGGTTTTCAGAGTTTATTTAAGTAGTGTGTCTACCGTAGCCTCTGAAACCTCTGCAAGGGAAGCTGAAGAATCTAGTCCTTAGAGGATATCTTCAGGAGAAGAGATAGAAGAGTAGAAGAGATATATTGGTAGTTTACTACTCACTCTTGGTAGTTAATTGGTTAAATAACAAGGAAGGCAGCAGAATCAAAGGTTTATTTAGTCCATCAGCAAGAGAATCTAGATTTCAGATTTATCTTGAAATTAGAGTAAATTAAACTATTCCTACGTGTCTGTGACATTAAAATGTCCAGAGCTACTTATCTTGTTCTTGTTTTCATCTGGTATTTCTCCAGATGTTTTCAGTATTATAGAATGTATAGAACATGATTACGCAATCATTCAATTTGGCATACTTGGTTGGAGGAGGAGCGAATAATAAACCTTGGTAACATCCCTTCATTCATACTCCTCTTTTTTTGTCTTGCATTTCTGTTAAACGCACACACATACTTAGGACTCATTCAGATTTTTAACCACCATATTCCAATGCTAATTATGGTCTCTTATTTACTGGCAATGGAAGGCTAATGTGGGGGTGGTCTCAAGGATTCAGGAATATTATTCAAAAGCATTTTGAGCTCCATTTGCCTTTGATGTTTGCCTCCAGTTTCTGACATTTGCCCAGAGCGGGGAAGGGGGTAGAGGAGGTGGTCCTACTATTTCCTGAAGCCCAGATGCCGCAGCAGAGTCCTTTAGAGACATCTTGATTCTATTAGAATTTGCAGGTCAAAGGGCAGACTCAACTGGCCTGGTAGTTTCAAGCACCAGGGATAGAGTGAATAGACTACTGTAATGACTTAAAGTTGGATTTCTGCTGCTACCTACTCATTACGCTCGTAATGTGCACGTTGGTCATGCAGCGGGTGGGGGGATTACTAATCGCTTTGAAAGGTTTCATGTCCACATTTTCCTTTTTTTTTTTTTTTTTTTAAACTGTGGAAAAGAAGGGAACAGAACAAGGAGAGTAATTTGACGAGAAGAGCATTGCAGTTCTTATTTTGCCCTGGGCTTGTGGCATACATATATTGCCGTTCACATTTTATGTGCTTGGATTACTCCCTCGGGACTCGTGGGAATGAAGTCAGAATGTGCTACAGTAGCAAGTCTGCTCTCTCTGTGGATGGTCTTCAGTTGGTGAAGCTCTTAAAGTCAGTGATTAATTCCTCTGAGGTTCCAGTTCTTTAAAATATTTATATCAGTATTAGAATAGGTGATCTCAAACCACTGACTCAGATTAAAAGAAATTATAAAAAGGAATGATTTCTGGTAATTTTTATTTTCTTGATAGTTTTCTGTATCTTTCAGTTTTTCTTCAGTGACTGTGTACTGCTTTTATCAGAAAATACTTTTTGTCAAAGAAGCAATTATATGGAATAGACAGCTATTAAAATAAGATTCTTTTTCAATTTGCTTGTTTTTTTCGTTGTGAATTCCATTCCCTCTGAAAAGCAGAGTATTTTTAACATTTTTGAGTTTAGACACTCTCAAGTGTGCCTTGTAAAACTTAATCAGGTAAGTTCAACTATACCATGTCGTCCTTTCTAAGAGATGTATTTGAGGAACAACAATTTTTCTTGTTTCCTAAAAGTCTTTGCTGTTACTGTTTACTACCTTTCACATTCTTGCCTATCCTCCACAATTTTTCCAAGAGGTGGTTCTCCCTCATAGTATCCACTTCAAATTTACCAGAATTGTAACCAAGCGAACAATACTGTCTTTGTCCCTTTTGGAAAATAAAAGAAAAACCTAAAAGCTGGTATACCTATCAAAGATAGACATTACTCAGAATTCACATGATTATGTGTACAATATGTAATCAAAACATTTTATTCTGTTGACTATGAATTGCCCTTCTTAGGCACCTATACATGTAGCAATCAATGTCGGGAGCGTACGTTTTAAATGGAAAGGACAAAGCCATGACAGTCTGTTAGGGAAGTTTTGGAGGATGAGAGCTGTGGTCATAGGAGAGAAAGTTTGATTCCGTATAGTCCGGAGCATGTTATCACTGCTCAGGAAAGAAACAGCATCAGTGAAATAAAATCTCTATTTGAATTGCATAAAAAATCCTTCCAATTGTGTGTCTTATTACAAAGACATTATTCCAGTGGCTCAGACTCCAATGCCACGTTCCTTAAAACTTTGAAATTAGAAATCTAAATTGTCATCCGGTATTTCATATTGTGATTTGCAAACGTGGCATTTTACCCCAGAGATTAATAACTGTACCACACTAGCTGCCCAAGCACACCATTTATGAAAGAGTTTGGAATTCAGTCACGAAGCTTCAACAATATGGAATCATTTTTACCATGTCATATTACAGTATTTTCCTTAAGCATAAAATAGGCCTCAAGTCCGATCACCTTTGTCTTTTGCATTCAGCAAAGGTGCTGGAATTTCAATCTAATTAGATAGAGTAATTTATCTGTCATTCATCTGCTGCTGCTATTTCAGTCTAATTAGATAATTTATCTGTCATTCATCTGCTGCTGCTTGCCTGCTACTAAATGTGTGATTCTGACTATTGGTGCACAGAAATGTAGCGCCCTTACTGGGAAAGCACGCTGCTGCTTCCAGCTTGGTCAGTCTTCGAGCTTCCCAAAAGGGAACAGATGACCGCAATCAACAGGAAGCTGCATCGTTAGACCATCTTGAACCCTTTCACCTTTAAGCTCATTTCGCCACTTAACATATTTTTTTCAAGTGGTCCGTGGATATATTTAGACTGTCATTATCCCTTTAGTGTTGACTGGATCCTCGTGGTGTAAGCTGCCTTCCGTTTCTTAGAATTACGTAGCGTGGGGACAGTGCGACGAGGACCTTCTCTCCTCTTCCAGCAGCAAAACCAGTGAAACGGATCTTTATTTCCATGATGTAAACCGAGCATACATCTTCCACTTGTTAGTTTTGCCTTCAGAGTTGAGTATACCTATGCATCCAGAATAAAGAATAGCCATTCGAATGTTCAGTAGACAGACAGTCTTCCAGTTTGTGGCTAAACTAAAACTCTTCCATATGACTGCTATTGAAGCTCAATTATCTTAACAAAAGACAGAAGCAAGGTTAAACTTGGGCAATGCATTCTCAGATTCAGCATTTCCTCGGGTCAAAAGCTCAGGCCACTTACATAGTTCCTATAAATCAAGCATGTCTTCTTTCATAAAAGATGAGCCGCTGACAAATGCATTTTGGATTATGAAACTAATTGTTCACTAACTTCGTTATGATTATTTTGTAAATTTCTTACATCAGCCTCCCCTCTAAATCCACCTTTTTTTTCTTCGGACGCAAACCATAAAGTAATTATTAGCTAAACCACAAGGAATCTGTAAAGTTTAAATTACTGTTTCAAAGTGTGCAGATCATTGCCAATAAAGCCACAACTGCAAACTTATTTGCATTGATGAGATAAAATGAATGATCGATGTTCATAATGCACCAGGAATAGATGGCTGTGTCTCCATATCCACTTTATTAAAGTTTGCGGTTCGTTGTACACGGTATGCGTGAAAATGTTTTCAGTGTCAGTAATGCCTCAAGTGGTCTGGAAGCTACAGTATAATTATCAAAGGAATAAATTAAATGGATAAAGTATGTAAGTGACAGGATTATTTTTACAGAAAGTAACTTTGTTTACTTTTCAAGTTCAACTGCAACTATAGGAACTCATTTTAAAATATAAAATGAAATACTAAGTTCTTACTAATATAGTTTCTTTTTTAAAGGTTGACAATTTTTATTTATTTAGTTTTTTGAGATAGGGTCTCAGATTGTCCACCCATGCTGGAGTATAATGGTGCCATCTCAGCTCACTGCAACCCCACCTCCCAGGCTCAAGAGATCCTCCTGCCTTAGTCTCCCGAGTAGTGAGTAGTGAGTAGCTGGAACCATAGGCGTGTGCCACCGCACCCAGCTAATTTTTGTGGGGTTTTGCCAGGTCGCTTAGGCTGGTCTCAAACTCCTGGCCTCAAGTGATCCACCCGCCTCGGCCTCCCAAAGTGCTGGGATTACAGGCACAAGCCACCACGCCTGGCCTAAATATTTTTTAAACTTTATTTTATCGTAGTAAGAAGACTTAACGTGGGATCTGCCCTCTTAATCACTTAAGTGTACAGTGTAGTATTGTTAATTACAGGGAGAACGCCATACAGCAGATCTCTAGAACTTACTCATCTTACGTAGCTTAGGTTTTATGCCCACTGATTAGCAACTCCCCGTTTCCCCCTCTCTCTCTTGCAACCACCGTTCTCTCCGTTTGCATGAGTTTGACTATTTTAGATACCTCATGTAAATGGAATCATGCAGTATTTGTCCTTCTGTGACTGGCTTATTTCATTTAGCCTAATATAGGGGAACTTATTAAGATAGCAATATAACAACATGATACAGACATGTAGAGTCAGATTAGCCTGAATGGGATTCCTGGCTGTACCATTGACTCCAAGTGTGAACTTGGGCAAGCTGTGTAAACTCTGAAACTCTTGGTTTTATTACCCTTAAAATGGGGGTAATGATAATAGTAACTTCGAAGAAGTGTTATAAGGGGTAAATTACACTGTTGGCATTTTCTTTCTTTTGCAGGCAAGAAGCTCTTCTGGCTGCCATTAGTGAAAAGGATGCCAATATAGCCCTCTTGGAGCTTTCGTCCTCTAAGAAAAAGACCCAGGAGGAAGTGGCTGCACTGAAGCGGGAGAAGGATCGTCTGGTACAGCAGCTTAAGCAGCAGGTATTATTAAATGCCAGGAGGAGGGTCAGTGGGGCCAGCCTTCACACCGTCTCTACACGGGTCTCTGCCAGCTTGTACTTTCAGGTCTCTTGTTTCCTATTAGACATCTGATCATTGGAGCTAGTTAGTTTCCATCATTAGAGACTTTGTACCTCCACAAATCTGTGTCTAGGAAATGCAGAGCATTCTTGGTAAGAGGGCTGTTTTGGACAATGTCACAGGTCTTCTGTGAGAATGTTTTTTAACTTTGTACAACGGATTGTAGAAATTAGTGAAATTAGCCCATTTGACATGAAAAGGCTTTTTTTTTTTTTTTTTTAACATCCAGCAAGATTTCTATGACAGCAGCCTCTAAGGATATTTTCATGAAAAGATTTTCAGTTATTCAGGATTGGGTAAGCTCTGAAGATAAGAACAAAGGTTGGCCCTTTTCTTTTCCAGCCTAAATGCTCTCAAAATTTAATGCTTTAGTATTCATGTAATGCCTTTTGTTTGTGAAAATAAAAGCTAACATTTTCCCCTTTGATGAGAGTTGCAAGGAGTGTGAATGTACCTAATACACAAAACCATCAATTTAAAAATCGTTAAAATGATAACGTTTTATATTAGACATATTTTTCCACAATTAAAAAAATGGGGAAAAACATTTCCCTTTGAAGATAAGGAGAGTGCTGGATGTTTACATCGGAGCCCTGCTTGAGCTTCAGCGCTCCTCACTGAGTGCTCCTGGCTGTGCGCAGCACCCGCGTCCCCGCCTCCGTGACTTCTGCATTCCCAGTCACGTTGTCTGTCCATTTTGGCTGACCAGGTGTGCTCTTCTCCCTCAAGTCGTGAGACCAAGAAAGAGCTTTTCAAGTAAAGAAAGTTCTTTTTTTCTATTTTTGGAGGTCAGTCATCAACTGATGGTATTTTGGTATAATGTTTACATTAACAAGAATCAATATTTAAACAACGAAGTTATTTTCTCTGTGGATCAAATTAAAACTGCTTAGAAATAGACTTTATATGTATTTATGTCGCACACTTTGCTGAGAAAATACCAAAAGATGTCTTTTTTTGGCAGGATGGATAGTTGACCTGCAAAAAGTAACCCATTGCTCATTCACAAGTGAAAGAAAACTTTTCCAGGGACCTAAAATACCTTTTAGCAAGAAGAGGACATCATCTAATATTTTGACTACCTGTTATGTAAAATAGGAAGAATGTGCTTATTGTTAAAGACATCCATCCAGTAGTTGGAAACTGAAATTTGGCTCATCAAGGCTGATCGTAGCAAATTGGAGGATATTACTGAAGAAGGGAGTTCACTGCTATCTGAGTTTATATATTTAGCAATATCAGTTATCTTAAGTAGTTAGGCTTGAATACATAGGCCTATGATTTAAGCGGTTCATGATCCCTTCACTTAAGACACCAAATAGAATTGAGTATTTAGCAGACCAGAATACCGTACCTCATTCACAGTGGTTTTTGATTACTGGCCTCTGAAGACCATATGTTTTCGTTATGTGAAAATTAAGGAAATTGGCCGAGCACCGTGGATCACGAGGTCAGGAGATCGAGGCCATCTGCCCAACATGGTAAAAGCCCATCTCCACTAAAAATACAAAAATTAGCTGGATGTGGTGGCGGGCGTCTGTAGTCCCAGCTACTTGGGAGGCTGAGGCAGGAGAATCACTCAAGTCCAGGAGGTGGGGGTTGCAGTGAGCCGAGATCACGCCACAGCACTCTAGCCTGGCGACAGAATGAGACACCGTCTCAAAAAAAAAGAAAAAAGAAAAGAAAATTACGGAAATTAATTAATCTATAAGCTTATAACCTTAGAAGGAAGTAGCTAAGAAATTCTCAGTGTCTTTATATCAAACCATATGCCTTGAATTTTCTGTAGTGATGTGTCCTGTATACAGAGAAAAATAATAACAGTTCTCAGGAGTCCTTCCTACAGCCATCTCCTGCCTCCCTTTTACATTCCTGCCCTTTCAGAATGTATCTGGATGCTGTGAGCAAGAAGGAAGGAGTCTTGCCAAAGGCATTTGATTCTTTAATTCCTCCAAGAGTGTGTACTAACTTTTGGACAAGGGAGAGGCCTTTTGGAAAGAAGATATGGCATCAATGCTGTTTTAATTTAAAGCTTCTAGTCCTTGAATTGCTGGAATGTGCCTCAATCTAAAGGCTATTTCCTAACAGGGAAGCCGTCAGCTCTGACCAGACTTTCCAGCAAATGGAGCTGCCGCTGCCTGATAGGCTCTCGGCGTTCACATGTGGTTCCTGTCGTCAGAAAGAGGGGAAGCAATGAGGGCCGCTGCCTGATAGGCTCTCGGCGTTCACAGTGATTCCTGTTGTCAGAAAGAGGGGAAGCAATGAGGGATATATAGATTTGGGGTTCACCTTCTAATATGGTCCCAATTTACTTATCCCCTCTAACCACCCCCCCACCCCCCCCAGGGTAACTTGTCTCCTTGACTCATTCATGGCAAAGCAGCACTTGGAGAGGCTGCATCAGAGGAAGGGGCCAGGGCCAGTGAAAAAAATAAAAACGAAAGGCTGTCTAACAAGCTCCAGATGTTCTGTGGTGGGTGCCAACCCGTGTGTTCAGACCTTAAGTCATGAAGAAGCCCTGCTGTGATTGTCAGGTCCCCGCACGAGATTTCGTGTAAACTCAGATAGAACCCTGGAAAGCACTAATACAATCTGTTTAGTCACAGCAGCTGTCACCAGATGGCCTTTCTCTCAGCATTATTTTCTTCTTTTCACCTCTAGAATTTTACAGCCTCCATATTGTACTGGTTGCTAGTGTGAAATCTGGTTTTGCCGCTGTGTGCTCTACACAGATGTGTCATGGGCAGGCTGGGCTTTTCAGGACAGGCTGGGATTTTTTTTTTTTTTCTTCCTGTTTTTAAGAGTCGACTGTAACAGTATAAAAGTAAAGGCTACAAACTTAAACTGATTTGGTTTGAATCTAGATAATCTCATTTACAACTATAATTTTGTAATCCTCTACATTAGAATTAATTGTCATATAATATATTCTTTGATTCCAGTATTTTGTAGGCATGGGGGATACAAAGGCACAGTACTCGTCTTAAAGGAACTCACAGGCTAATGCATCAAACACTGGTTGTTCTAGACACTTGGAAGACATTCTGTATTAGTCCGCTTTCACATTGCTTTAAAGTACTACCTGAGACTGGGTAATTTAAAGACGAGGTTTAATTGACTCACAGATCCACATGGCTGGGAAGCCCTCAGGAAACGTACAATCATGGTGGCAGGTGAAGGGGTAGCAAGGCACATCTTACATGGTGGCAGGAGAGAGGGAGCGATCAAGCGAGGAACTGCCACACCCTTTTAAACCATCAGATCTCGTGAGAACTCACTATCTTGACAACAGCAAAGGGGAAATCTGCCCGCGTGATCCAGTCAATCCAGTCACCTCCCTCCAGGCCCCTCCCCTGACACTTGGGGATTACAGTTCGAGGTGAGGTTTGGGTGGGGACACAGAGCCAAATCGTATCACATTTTGTGGAAGGTGGTCCTGGCCTTGCCAGCTTTTTCTGCTGACAGCTTTAGCAGCTCATCCAAACATTATGTAACTTATGTACCCATTCACTTCAGATTTACCTCACAGAGTTGGCGTGAAATTAAATAAGATAGCAAACCTAAAGTGCCTAGAATCCCCACTTCCATTCTCTATCACTGATAGCCCTGTTCATGGTGAGAACTGTGCCGTGGGTGACACACAGTGCATTGAGGGAGGGGTAGTCTCAGGAAGCATGGCTCTCATGCTTTTTTTTTTTTTTTTTGAGACGGAATTTCGCTCTTTTGCCCAGGCTGGAGTGCAGTGGCACGATCTCGGCTTACTGCAACCTCCGCCTCCTGGGTTCAAACAATTCTCTGCCTCCTGAGTAGCTGGGATTACGAGTGCCCGCCTCCATGCCCGGCTAATTTTTTGTAATTTTAATAGAGACAGGGTTTCACCATCTTGACCAGGCTGATCCTGAACTCCTGATCTCGTGATCCACCCGCCTCTGCCTCCCAAAGTGCTGGGATTACAGGCGTGAGCCACTGCCCCCAGCCTGGCTCTAATTCTTGGTTATTTCTAACCACTTCATTTAAATGTGCAGACTCACATAGTGATCAGAATTACACAACTAGCACATGGTGTTCCACTCCTCTGAGGAAGAACGTATTTCTCAGGGCAGTTAGGAAAAAGAGGTAGAGGTACTTTTTATCCTTCCTTTTTTCCACCTGTTCTTTTTAATGATATGACTCTAATATAGAATTTTTAAAAAATAATTCTAAATTCTAATATGTCTTTCTTAAATTTTAAATTTTCGTCACTGAAGAACATTTAAATGCCCATCTGCCTGAAGTCCTCAACATCAGGAAAATGATAACTCCCAAGCATACATCCCATCCCACTCGCCTTCTAGTTCTGCGATTTTCCACGTTACCTGCCTGTTCTAAATATCCCCGAGTAGTATAACTTTTCATAATTCTGTGAAAATAGAGCAGTGACAACAATGGCCACCACGCACCACCTGACTGCAGTGTGCGGGGCACAAGGGCTGTATATCACAGGATCTTCCCCACAGCTCTGGATAGTATCTTCGTTATGTAGAGGAAGCACTTCAGACCCAAAAACGTTAAAATTGTGGCTAAATTTCCATGAAGACTAAGTGGTGGACCCAGAATTAGAAGTGATTCTCTTCTCTCCCTTACCATCTTATGTGAAGATTCCAGATGGTTGGTAATTAGATTGTATTAGAATGAGAATAATACAAACAATGCTATTTTATGTTTTTATGATACTCGTTTGTTTCCCTGAGAGACAGAAAAGGGTACCTATTTATACTCCAGCCCTTCCCCTCTCTGTTGATAAAGAACCAGCAACAAAAAAGAAATGGTGTGATTTGTTTCCCTTGGGTTTCCCTTTTCCCTGTTCCAGGCTGAGCGTCACCTTTCTGTACACGAGGTCTTTCTCCCGTCGTCCCAGCACT